TATTCTATTCTTTATTCTATTCCTATTCTATTCTTTATTCCTGTTCTGTTCTTTATTCTATTCATATTCTCTTCCTATTCTATTCTTTATTCCTATTCTATTCCTATTCTGTTCTTTATTCCTATTCCTTTATTCTGTTCTATTCTTTATTCTATTCCTATTCTATTCTTTATTCCTAGGACAGAATAGAGAATAGAATGGGAATAAAGAATATTCTTTATTCCTATTCTATTCTTTATTCCTATTCTATTCTCTATTCTATTCTATTCTTGTTGCTTGTTGATGGCTTAGTGTGTCGTGCAAACTCAGCTCTTTGGTTTAGTTGAGATATTAAGCGATAGATAGATAGATAGATAGATAGATAGATAGATAGATAGATAGATAGATATTGATACATATTAAAGTATATTATGTGTATATATTATATTGATATGCACTAAGTATAATAAGTGTCTACATTATATTGATATGTAGTAAGTATATTAAGTGTATGTATTACATTGATATATATTAAGTCTATTAGGTATATATTAATATTAAGTATAAGTACTGCATATTTATAATAATATATCAAGTTATTAAGAGTACACAGAAGATTCCGCAAATCTAGAAAAGTGCCTGATTCAATAGCCAGGCAAATACAGCCTCTAGATGCCAATTTAAAAACGTTAAGCAGAATTTAGATAAAAATGGGATATAAGCCATAAAAGAGAGAAAGCCTACACTTAGATGAATGTTCTGATAAGCAGATTGCCACGGACTTTACTGTTTGACAAGACAATTTATTTTTGAACGTTTTATTTTTCAAACTGCAGTTTCAGGTGACTTCCAGTTGTCTCCAAAATTTCAGGAACTCCAAACATTATTAGGTCAAGTCTAAACATTCTTCATCATAAGCACCAGGTCTTATTTTCGGAGCAGGTCATCCACTGACTAACCTCACTTGTGCACGTCGTACCAGGCCTCCTTTTTCCTGTCAGAGGCCTTCAGGAACCTCTTCTTCTGCAGCTGGCAAAGCTTTCCTGAAGGCCTCTGCAACCAATAACAGAGCTCTGGATCGATCCAGAGCTTTGTTCTCAGCTCCAGAGGCCTTCAGGGAAGCCTTGCCGGCTGCAGAAGAAATGGACCGGCAAGGCAGGTATTGGGGTGTGTGAGGCCTGGCTACAACTGTCCAAAGGTAAGTAGTAGGGCTGCTCCATCCCCCCATCTCCACCCTAACTTAATTTTTACCTGTCCACTCTGGAGTGGGAAGGGTCTTAATTAGGGCTTATTTTGGGGGTAGGGCTTATATTGGGCACACGTGTAAAAATCAAGCTAGGACTTACTTTCAGGGTAGGTCATATTTTTGAGGAAACAGGGTATCTTTTTAGTGGCGCAGTGGTTAGACTGCTGTACTGCAGGCCACTTCTGCTGATTATCAGTTGTTCAAATCCCACCAGGCTTCAGGTTGGTAAAATGAGGGCCCAGACCGTTGGAGGGCCCGAGGCTGACTCGATAAAACTGCTTAGAGACGGCTGTAAAGCACTACAAAATGATACACAAACCTAAGTGCTATTGCTCTGTTTGCTGGCTCCTAAGAAATGAAAGATCTCCAAACATTACAGTTTGCACTCCAAATATCGCCTCATGCAATAATGTTGAAAAGGCCACCAAAAATATTTTTAGCTGCAGAACAATTTGGTCTGTTTTAGAAAGAAACCAAAATCGCGACCTCTTCCCCAGACAGGCCCCTTGACTAGTAGGAATTGTTTAGCTAACTTAACCCCGCTGCCAGCTGTCTAAGCGGGGCTGACATTTGGGGAAGGGGGGGGGGGGGGGGATTGGAGTGAGAGGGAATTAAGACCCAGCCAATACAATCTGACCTTAATAACGGATGGAGCCAGAAGTCCGGAAAAGGTCAACCAGATGGACTGAGTTGTTAGCCACTGAGGAGGCTTGAAGTAGATAGATGGGAGTCTTTAAACAGATGCTTAGGAAACTTGGACATCTTAAATAAAGTTCCCCTTTTTTTTGGTGTGGGGGTCCTTGGTCCTCTCTGAGTTTGGTTGTTTGCCTGCTGACGTTTCATGACCCAATTAGGTAACATCGTCAGTGCTAGAGCATCAACGGAATAACAGAGTCGGAAGGGAGGTCTTCTAGTCCAACCCCCCTGCTTTATACCAGTTCAGACAAATTGTCTGATCCCTTCTCTAAAATACCTCCAGGGATGGAACTCCCACCAATTCTGGAGACACTGAATAATGGTTCTCAACGTCAGGAAATTCCCTTTTAATTCTAGGTTGGTTTTCTCCTTGCTTAGTTTCCATCCATCGCTTGTTTCTCCTGCCTTCAGGTGCTTTGGAGAATAGCTTGACTCTCTCTTTTGGGGGGCAGCCCCTCAGATATTGGAAGACCGCTATCATGTCTCCCCTGGTCCTTCTCTTCCTTAGACTAGCCAGGCCCGGTTCCTGCAACTGTTCATCGTATGTTTTAGCCTCCGGTCCCCTAATCATCTTGGTTGCTCTTCTCTGCACTCTTTCTACAACATCTCAACATCTTTTATATGTATGTATGTATAATACACACACACATACTCACACACACACACACACACATACACAGCCCTATCCCGAAATGGGTGCAAAATTCCACCAAAACTGGATGTAAAATTCCAAGTATGGTCTTACCAAAGCATTATAAATTGCCTTGGTAAGAGCACTGATCGTTTGCAATGTTTGCAAAAAAACCCACCAAGCTCAGAGAGCACCAAGGACCCCCTCACTTCAACCGTGAGCTGCAATTATTCTCTTCTGTCAACAAACACAAAAGTTTGTTTCTAAATAAGGAAAGAATGTGATCTTTCTTAAGAATAAAAAAAAAGTCTCTTTTTGGATCGTGATCAGTTCCCAGAGGTTATAAGTCTACTTAGTTTTCTTGGCAAGTCTACCGAGGTGATTGACAATTAAGTTCTTCCAGAATTTCTTTTTTTTTGCTTAC